TCTATCTATCTATCTATCTATCTATCTATCTTTTTCCTGGTTTACTCCCATATAAACAGTATAAAATACATGAAAACTATAAAACATGAACATAAATATTTCCCATTTGTAAACATTTAAGCATAAAAAAGAGCTTCCATTAAAGTATTTTATTTTAGAAAGTGGCATTACACCATAAAGATGAAACAAAACTTCACTGTAAAAACTGAATTATCTTTGCTGTTAAATGTTGGTTTTAAATCGTGTTTTTTTTATATATGTAATGATGCTAAAAGCACTTTAGAGCCCACTAGATTGTGAGCCTTAAAGTAGGGAGCTTGACGTTTAAAATGTCTCTTTATATAAGAATATCAAAGCATTCCTTCAAGTTCAGCCAGGAAACAACTTGATCCGTAATGAGGAGAAAAAAACAAACGTGTTACGTTAAACTTCAAGTTAATTCTTCAGAATGAGTGATTTGGTTCAAGCCTAAACCTTATTTCATATAAAGCAGAAGCTGCAGTGATGCAGTATGTCATGATGTTGTTGGGAGTCGTTCTCTGCAGCAGAATTTGCAAGTTGGTTTCATGTTTGATTGATATAAAGACTTTTCCTAATCCTCACTTAACTATATGTAAATTTGCTTGCAGTTTGGAGTCCGTCACTGAAGGAAAATATAGCAACAATAAGGTGTGCTGACTAAAAAAAAAACTGGTTTCTTATAGTTATTCTACTTAGGTCTGATTGTTTCCTTATTGCAAAAGTCGAGGAGCATCAGATAGAAAATGAAGCACTGGGAAAAAAATCCAGATAAGAGAAGACAGATTGTTTATTACATCAAATCAAATTTGTCTTTTTATCGGGAAAACTGCTAACAAAACACTGAAGCATGTGCAGAAGGGCCAGTACTGACAGATGAAATAACCYAATTTCCCTCTGGGATCAATAAAGTATTTYTGAATTGAATTGAACCCTTTTTATATCTTTATTTCTCAAAAGTTGTAAAACTGGACACATTCTTCAATTTCAATCTTTTTATGGCTAAAAAAAAATCCAAAATATACTTTGGTGCAAAACCCAGCACTGTATCTATGGCTTCTCATTAGTTTCAGATATATTTATTCTAAGAATAACTAGTTAGCGTTTTATCAATCAAGAAAGCAGGTGATTTGTTATATGAAACATTTAAAACAAAGAACACAGTCTTTTATCACCCATAAAAGTAGATTTAAGAAAAGCAGCAGATTTTTTTTGTAACGTCTTCATGTATATTTGAGCATTTATTTTATTTCTGTCATAAAACTATCTGTTTCAGTGCATTATTGCAAACCATCAGAAACCAACATGATGGTTATAAAAGGCTGAAAATTCAAAAAGAAATTATCTGAAGACGTTTAAAACAGAACTTTCAGTTGCATTTACTATTTATGTAAATAATCTAAAAGGCCGTGTCACACTATGGCGTTTTTAGAGAACTTGCTGAATTTTGTCTGGGTTTGAAGACGTCTACCCTGAAGATGGAATAAAACAATCAACTGGAAGCCTCTTTTGGACATATCTGCTAATGATTAGATCAAATATATAACATGAGTTATTAAGTTGGCTGAAATGTTAGTGTGACAGGACCTTTAGGATTAAGCTATAAGATCAGAAATATGCTTTTTTATACTAACTTCATTAAAAAGTAATTTATCCCACTATGTGTTTATTATAATATATAAATAATAATGCACTTTTTAAAAAGGTTTCGCAATATTACTAATAAAAAAACTTGCATTCATAAATTTGATCTATAAATGTGTGTGAAAAAAACTCAATATTCATATCAGTAAAAAAAATGCTAAAACACATCACTTTTATTCATATCTAAAAGTTGATTCATGACAAATTCTGATCTTTGTTTGATTAAATAATGTTTAACATTTTCAGACCAAAAGAGCTGCCTCCTGCTCGGTTAAAGATTTTCAAAAAACTCCCAATCAGTTCATATCAAAGACAACTGAATGTTTAACACAAACAGCAAATCACTGTCCTCAGCTGACTCAACCAACACAAATCTAACTTGCATAAAGCGGACAATTAAAAAAGTTTCGAAAACTTATATAACATTTGATCTTCGTATTTTCCATTTTTGAGGCCAAATTTGACATTAGAAGTCTCAAAGTGTTTAATAAAAAGCACAGCTTAAAAAAAATTACAACTCCATCTAGAAATTGTTTTAAACATGATTCTGTAACAAAATAAACCGAACTAAATGAAGGCTTTGCTAGGTTACACAAGTGTTAAACAATTTAAGTTATATGGTTTTCAAACAGATCCAGTTAATCACTCTGTAAATAGTTTGACCTAAACTGACATGTCTAATTTTAATGCAAGTTTCTTAATATTTTAAAATGCAAAAAYTGAACTACAATGTAAAAAAGCACATTCTTTCATTTTGTATGAGACAAGATAATCTGCTCTTGCAGTTCTCTAAATAATGACAAGTTTTTCTTTGGACAATGTTAAATCTTTAATTAGAAACAAACAGTTGTCATGTGTGACAAAAATATATAACACCAAACTTTAAAAAAACACCTTTTCATCTTTTGTACAAAAAGATTTAGTGTTGAACAAGCACATTACCTTGCCACATGTGGAAAAATAACATCTCAAACACAATTTAACAAATTGGCGAAAAGAAAAAAAAAGGCTGAAATGTTTATTTTCTAGGAACGTATGGGGTTTAATTTTCAATGAAAGAAGCTTCCGATATGTATATTTGTCAACATGAATAAAATTAGAGGAGGAATAACACAACCTAAAACAGCTATTAGGATTTTTGGTCTGAAACTACGTAATAGTTTTTAAAACAAAATAAAACAAAAAAAAATTTATCTGACACGACAGCTCTATAATAGTAACAGGAAAAAAAATACATCTAAAACAAAACACTTTAAAACAACCTTGGACAAAGAAGGAATGTAGTGCATTCTTCCCAAGCATCACATATAAAAAAAAAAAAAAACGTTAAATGAAAAACAACAGTAGGACAAAAATACAACTAAAAACTTGGATTAAGCTACGCATTAGTTGCTCAGTCCATTTTTTAATTGTTTGTCATTTACTACAAGTAGACTTCTGCTCATAAATCCACAGACAGTGTTTTGGCACAACATGTGGATGTAATATTTGAACCATTTATTCCCTCGTTCTTCATAAGCAGCTCTGATCCGTTCCAGGGCCGTACAAGTTGTTCTGATAYGACGAGCTGGCAGAACAGCGAACCCCATATTAGCTTAACCATCTGGTAAGATTTAGAAAATAGACAGCTGCGCTTATATGCAATTACATTAACCATTTACAGTTTAGGATATCTTAAAGTACCCCCACCCCACCCCGCTTCCAAAGAACAACATTGAACACGAGAAATAGTTGTGATCCTTCAAAACGCTGAAAGCTCGTYCAGTTAAAAACTAACTTGTCAACAGAACCGTGCATAAGAAATTGACTACGTTTTTTCCCCTATTTATAATTCATCCCTAGATCCAGCAGCTGCATTGTGACAATGCATCTGCTTGCACGCATCTTTAAGAACTATATTACATCCTATTTATACCTTTAAGGGGGATAAAAAGCATTTGGAGTACAGATCTGTACTCGTTTCCTCACAGAATCATTACAGGCTCCCACTGCGGCTAGCTCCTGCACAGACTTTGCTTATTTAAGTTATCATTAGATGCAAATTACTTTTCTGAAAATAGAAACTGCTGCTCGGCTCTCAGTCGTATTCCTGAACTCTACGGTAGTGTGTAGTTATAGCCTATTAAAATAACAAAAAAAAAAAAGCCAAATAAAGTTATGGAAAGCAGAAATGTCTGAGTAAGTTACAGCTGAGAATCAAATTTCCAGTAAATAAATACTTGTTTTCTAGAACAGCCTCACAGAAGAAACTTTTCCCGTTTTTAAATTGTATAGAGAAGGGAGTCGAGTAAAAAAAACATTTACAACGTAGACAGTGGAACTGCGTCGTACATGGAGATTGTGAACAGATTTTGAGGCTTGGTGAGTTGGAAGAGACGACCTACTGAACAGATGAGTTGAGAGATTTGTTGGGCAGCATCACACTGAATCGGGGGAAAGATTTGTACGCACAAGTCCGTTTGCAGTCGGTACCGAGTCCGTTTGTTCCTTCCTACAGAGCGTCATTCTCAGGGGCRAACAGAGCTGCGAGGCCCAGTGACTCAGTCTCCACTATATCCGTGTCTTGCTTTGGATTTTTAAAGAGCGATGGKAGATTGCGGATATGAACCTCCTTCCTGAACTTCTGGCACAGAGCTTTCTGTTAGATGGGAGACGGAGGAAAAAAAAAAAGAGGGTTATTCAGAGCTACAACTGAGAATTTCTCTACATTGTTCAGCAATGTTGGGCTCAGTAACATTTTCTGCCTCTGAAGAGATTTACAGCACAGACAGAATCACACTGTTGATTCGCACTGTAAGAACTGTCTGATCACTTTCTAAGGGGAGGGGGAAAGCTGAGACRTCAAAGCGCAGCACTGCTCTCTAGTGGTTAAATGTGGCATTACCCCGACAACTCCTGCAATGAGCTTCCTGAAYTGTTCCTTCKTCTTCTTCTCTCCAAGCCGCTGGCTTTTACTACCCAAAAGCCTTTGATCGAACTGGTCCAGAGCTTCAATCCTGATGTTTGGGATTTGGGTCATCACTGTTCTCAGCTCTGCGTAGCGAGGACGCTAACAGATAGACAGAGAGATGCAAATACACAAGCTAAATGTGAAAAAAGGGTTAAATTTGATCAACATTACTATATAAATAAAGGTAAWGAAGGAAAGAGATTTCTGTYATTATCCTCACCAGGTTTTCATAGATGAGAATGGCCAGATGAGTGAGCGTAGTGTTGCAGACTTYATGCTGCCCGTGAATAAAAAGTCCTTTGAGAACGCTGGTAAAAATCCAGCTGACTGCTTCAGGAAGGAGGTTCCCATCAACAGCCTAAAGAGAATGAAAGTAGACACTTTGTTTACTTTTCACAATCATCTTTCAAGTCACAAATAAATAACTGGACATTTAGTAAGGCAAAAGGTTAATTTAGTATGAAAACATAAAAGTGGACAAAATACTGAAATTAYGTCATAAGTGAGCATGTAAATGAAATCTCTGCAAAACTTAAAACTCCCTGGTTATTACGTCAATTTGTAGTTTTTAATCTAAATTTTCTTTTTTTTTCTATTCTAAAACTACAAAACTGTATTGCTCGGGAGTATTGTTAAAAACCTTGCAAACAAAAAAAAAAACCTAAAGACTGGGTAGACATAGACATGATGTTTGTAAGGGAAATAATGAATTATGTGGTGAACCGTTTACATATATGAAATTTATCATTTACAACAGAAATATTTCCAGACAACATGAAAGCAGCCAAAGTAATCCCTCTTTTTAAGAATGGTGAGAAATGTGTGTTCAACAATTACAGACTAATATCCTTGTTACCTCAGTTCTCAAAGATTTTACAGAAATTATTTGTTAACAGATTAGACAAATTTATTAGTAAACAACATATTTTAAGTAACAGTCAGTATGGATTTAGAGCTAACAATTCAACATCAATGGCTCTCATGGAATTGATTGAACAAATAACTGCTGTTGATCAAAAACAGTACTGTGTTAGTGTTTTTGTTGATTTAAAGAAAGCCTTTGACATGACTGATCACAAAATTCTCCTTGAAAAGCTAAATAAATATGGTATTAGAGGACCAGCACTGCAGTGGGTAACTAGTTATTTGAAAAATAGGAAACAGTTTGTTCAAATAAATGATATAAGATCTGCTCAGTAAGATCACATGTGGAGTTCCTCATGGTTCTATACGTGGGCCAAAGCTGTTTATTTTGTATGTAAATGATTTAGTAAATGTATCAGGGTTGTTTAAATGTGTTCTGTTTGCTGCTGACACTACTTTTTTTTGTTTGGGTAGAGATATAAAACGGATGTTGGAAAGGATACAAACAGAATTTGTAAAAATACAAACATGGTTCAAACTTAACAAATTGTCGCTAAACTTGGATAAAACTAATTACATGATATTCAGTAATAGAACGACCATTATTGATTTTCCATTTAAAGTTGATGGTGTTGAGATTAGTAGAGTCAGTGAGATAAAATTTTTGGGCATTATCATTGATGAAGGGCTGACATGCGCATATAAATTACTTAAGAACAAAAATAGTTAAATCTGTTGGAGTACTGTATAAAGTAAAGGAGTTATTCAATGATAAAACATTGTTTATGTTGTATAATGCAACAATTGTTCCACACTTGATTTACTGTATTGAAGTCTGGGGTAAAGCATGTAAAACAATCACAAATCCTATTTTCATTTTACAGAAAAGAGCAGTAAGAATTGTCACCAGAAAAACATTACAGTCACCCTTCGAATATATTATTTTGTAAATTAAAATTAAAATTTTATGAGTTGGTTGATTATATTTTGCAGCTTATGTGCAGTATAAGGCTCATAAAAAATGTTGCCTTTAAACATCCAGTTATATTTTGTTAAGAGAGAAAGTTCTTATAATCTTAAAGGACTTGAGATGTTTATAAAACCTGAAATTCAAAAAAACTTGAAAGACCAATGTACAGTTCAGCTCAAGGAATAAGATTGTGGAATAATCTGGAAAGTGATTAAAAAATGTCAGTTCAATGTATTTCTTTAAGAGAAGGATAAAAATAAGTTTGTTAAAGAAATATGAAATAATGTTGTTTGAGAAGAAAATGAAGCTTTTATTTTGTTTTTGTTTCTTGATTATTATCGCTAGAAATTAATTATAGAAAAAAGGGGCAGATATTAAAAGATTTTTTCTTCTTTCTGCCTCCTTTCATTTCAATTTGGATTTGTATATTTTTTTGTTTTGTATATATATTGTGTATTTTTTGTTTATGTGTATAATTTTTTTTTGTTTTTTGTTTTAAATTAAATGAGTAAAATAAACTAGATTAAACTAGACAAAGCAGCTTTAAAATTACCGAAATGTATGATAAAAAAATTAAKAAATCTCAGGCTAAGAGGGAAACAACATTAAAAATGCAAACATGTAACAGGTGCGTTACCTGACGCAGAAGCGTCCAGCAGACCGTGGAAGCAGTGCGATGACAATTAGTGGCGTCATTCCACGACAGCGAGGTAAAAGCGAGCGTCAACAGTGACATCCAGGTGCTCTGAGAGAGGAAGAGAAGAAGATCGGTGTTTATWCACRGCTTTTAAAGTGTGGCTCTCTGWCGGCTGGGTTWTAGACGGACCTCATCTTTGATCAGACACTTTCCAAGTTCAGTCAGCTCCTCTGTGGGCTGCGTAGAAGGTCCCATCTGTGCTGAATCCATCATCATCACATCTTCTTCTTTAAGGAAAAAAATCAAACAAAACTATCACTTTGTGTGTTGAAAATAAAACAATAAATAATTAAAAGTTTAAGTACACTCACCATCAATTTCCTCTTTATTTGCTGCTGATTCAGGCACTTTTTTAAGGATACAACTGATGGCTAAAAGAGAAAAAAGAAATTTAAATCTCGGTCGGCAAATGTCTCCGATAATAAAATCCTGGTCTGACAGTTCTAAACAGCTCTTTAAAAATCACACAACTCATTCTTTCTAGTATCTCTCTAGTTATTGTCTCCTAGTTGGTCTGGGAATGCCTTGGAATTCTACCAAAAGAGCTCAAAGCGGCGGTTGTGGAAAGAAATGYCTGTGCCTCCCTGCTTTATCTGCTGCCCCAACAACAAAACTCCAAAACAAAGRCAGATAACGKTAAGATRAATGGAAGAGTTGCTTACAGAGAAGATCCAAAACCTCCCTRGTGAGCAGCCGTAAAACCTCCTCCTCCAACATCTCCTGCGCCACCTGACTGTCCTGACARAGCTCCTGTTCCTCCTCATCTTCTCCACTATAAAAAACATCCACATCATTAGTAACTCCACATATTCCRTTAATAGCTTAAAAAATATTGAAGAATCAAAAAATTAGATATTTAGATCTCTACTCAATTGTGATTTTTTTTTTTGTATTTCTTGTTTTTTATGTTCTTGAATATTAAATTTTCCATACAAATAAAACAAATTAGAAAAGCATTTCAAAACAGCTTACTTTATAGATGTCCTCTGGCTGATCATCTCCCACTTGGCGTTAAGCCTCTGTAATATAAAGCAGAAACACAGAAGGTAAACAAAYGTGGTTGAGCAAATCCAGACATAAATACAGAACAGGATGCTGACCTGCAACATGTAGGAGAACAGAGGGCCCAGCAGAGGGCATAGTAAACTCTCAAAGTACTCTGAAGGACAGGAGAGCACCAGCAGCTTCAAAAATAGTCGTACGCACTTTGTCAAGGCAAATCGGTTTGCATAAAAACAGCTCTGCAGGAGTCTGAGAAAGATCAAAACTTCTCAAACACTGAGGCAGGAAAACAGAAAAAAAGTTGTCAGTTYGAAMTGACAAGTTAAAAAGGATATGAAGCACTAGGCRAAACCTGCTGTCTGTTATGTGGTCGAGGGAGGTAAAAACAGACCCTGTTATTAATTCACACAACTTGTCAATAGTGTAGAACTCCTGCTGCAGGGCTGGACCTGCAGTGCCCAGGATGTGGAAGCTGCAGGAACAAAAGCAACAAAGGAGGAGGAGAAATTATATCAGAGACAGAAATTAAATATACATCATGCAAAAAATAAGGTTAAAAAATAAATATTGCAAAAAACAAACAACAAAAACACACCAACTCTCATATAATGAGCAGAAAAATCCCTGCATTCGCTCTAAGCTGGTTTTGCGCACAGGAGAGCCATAAATATCCAGAGGTGGCTGAAAGAGTCCTGGGCAACAACAAAAAACACAACATTGAGACGGTTTAACTTAACAAGTAAATACGACTATAGAAGAAAAATATAAAGAACTCATCTTACTTAGAATMATGTTTTTTTCTGCTTCGGTCACATCGAAGACTTTAGAGAAAGTCTCRCTGAGATGAGCCATGTTCTCTGGTATGAACAAGGAGTTTTGAGTCCTGCAGTGCAAAAATGAACAAGATTTACTGAACACAGCCACAGAAGTAATGTTTGAAAGCAACTTTGTAACAACTCAGGTAATAAATCAGGACCAAAAGTGTTTAAAATATCCCCATTTTTTGAAATTTTGCTTCTGTACGTCACTGAAATAAAAATGAACGTTTATAATCATAAAATGATTCCAAAGGTTGAAAAAAAAACAACAACAACAACAACAACAATGGATTATATTCAGGCAGTTTTCAATTCCTGGATTGTTTTACTATGAATTAATTGTAGTTATGTAAAGAAATTAACTTATATAAAATGTGTCACTAACCAAATCATTTTAAAACTGATATTAAAATAAAAGTGAGCCAACGCACCCTACTAGAGCCAGTAGGTTGGGCAAAAAGTCCAGGAACTGTGCAGCACAGGGGTTTCTGTAGATGGGGGCTCCAGCAGAGGTGTAACCCACCACAAAACCCCCAGCTTTGGCTTCTTCTAGGTCTGCAGGCCAGCGTGAACGCCTCAGCACTCCCAACATTGCGGACAGACAGAAACTCAACTAGGCAAAGAAAAAGGAAATATGTAGCGTCATTTGGTCCAAACTATTTTTCTCATTCTGATAAACAGGTAAGAAAAAAAAGTTACATTTAAAATAAGCTAAATCCCTCCCTCTTCTCCTTCATTCATTATTAGTATGGACTTACTCGCCATCTGTTACTGCTGGCTGCATCTGTGTCTGCATTTTGATCAGTGACGACTTGATCAGCTCCAACAAAGGATAGAAACTTGACAGGGTCCCAAATCACACTGAAAACCAGCAAAAAAATTAAAATAAAACAAGTTTCATAATGAAACACAATGCATACAATTTTATTTTAAAAAAAAAAAGGAAGTGAGAAAAAAAAAATTCACACACATTTTCATCTCCTCCGAAGTCCACTCTGCAATCACTGGAGCCAAAAGTTCGTTTATAAAAGTCTTTTGCTTTTCGAAGTTTTTAATCTGGTTAGAGATGAGCACCAGAGCTTCTACTAGTGCGCTCTTCTCCAGGTAAGTCAGCACTACGYTGCCTGAAAACATAGCTTTTACATCGCTGTAAAAYGAGTCAAAGCAAGGCTGTGGAAGAAAAACAAAACAAAAWAAATCACAAAGTTACTCAGTGAACACCTAATATGTAATGGTATTTTAATTAAATTAGAATAGAAAAGCTTTTACCAAGAGGTACTGTGGGTAGTCCCGGCAGATTTTTATGATAGAAGAGCAGGCGTGTCTCCTCACGTTCTTTACAGCTCGAGTCCAAGATGACTAAAAACCACAGCCAGAATTTSTTTTCCCTTCTTTAATTTTGGACAAAGCATGAAGAATAATTTACAATAATCGTGTATGAAAAAGCAAACTTACCATGTCCATTTCAGTTTCAAATGCTATGGCCTTAAACAGCTGTAGAGCCAAAACAACAGGAGTTAATCTCGACTTGGGGAGGACTTGAAAGTTTTTTGGCACTGACGCAGAAATGATTAGGTTATGAAAACAACGAACATAACAAAAACAAACTGTGTGATGAGAAACATCTTAAAATATTCACAAAAAGACATGCTTGACGTGCGCTAACCTTGGCGAGGACCAGCGGCAGGAACTGTGGTCTGTGGATGACAAACGGGAAGAGGGCGTAGATGTTGCTGAGCACACAGCACAGGATGAGCGGATCTCTGGTTTCATAGTTCAGCAGGGCCTGCAGCAGCTCCATGCTCTGATCTATAGGCAGCTTCTACACATAAYGAGGCAAGAGAAGACCACGTTTATAYSCCGTYACATCCCATAAATGAGTTATTTTCAAACAATTTGRTTCTGTTCTTTCTTGTCACCTCCTCCTCCAAATTTTTAATGATCTGAGACATGACACCCTCCATAAAGACTGTGGCCGCATCCCACTGGATGACTGATGGAGAAAGCAGAGAACACATACCCCCTGCAGTCTTACCTGGACGAGTGCAAAATGAGAAACAAAGTTAACTTTATGCAAACAAGAAAATTCACTTGTCAAGTTAAAAAAAAAAAACTCTATTTTGATTTTGTGTGATTTAGTTTTTAAAACTTGTGTTTTACACATTTTTAAGTCACAATAAATCAAACCAAGAATGAGATTCAACACTTGCATTTGGCGTCTCCGGGATCAATGGGACTGGCAATCTGAAATTGTAAACATTCTGCTGCTGTCTGGAAAGCCTCTAGTGGAACAATGCGACTYATACATCTCACAACATCCCCCTGCTGCCCTCGATAAGCTTTGAAGAACAGAAAGAAATAAAAAAAGTATTAAAATGAGCAGGGGCATTTATCCTGAAAGGTATTAATTTGAGTCAATAACACTTACAGGTGAAGAACATGTTGAAGTCTTCGTCGCTGTCAAAGTCCAAACGAGAGTACACACAACTCAGGCTGTCGTTTCGAGAAGGGAAGCCGGTCTGAAAAGATAAATAAAATGAGAAGTTTGTTTTCTCTGTTCACACCACGAATGAGACTGATAACTGGTGTCTCACCCTAACAAGAGTGGTCATTGTAGCTTTGAGGTATTTCATGGCCATTTCCACAACAGCTGTGACTTTTGACAGAGTCTCGTGTTTGAACAAAGCTGTCCAAGTTGGCACAGTAAAGGATTTTAAAAACTACAGAAGAGTGGGAGAAAATTAATTAGTGCACAACTTATACTTCTAATATGTTAAAGGGACAATATTATGTGTTTCTCAGGCATACATTTAAATACTACACCATAATAAAAGTATCTATGTCATCTTTGGTTGTTATTAAAATGCTGTTTTTTTGTTTAAATAGAAAGTAAACTTCTAAACGCCTTGAAATTGCCCTCTTTCTCTTTAAGAACCAACTTCCGCTTCTGTCCCGCCCGTTTCAGTGCACGCGCTATGACGCAGTTTACTTGGCATCTGAAAATACATTTCCCCAAAGGTATTTTGAATCTGAAAAGAGCTTCATTGAGTGAGAATTAGTTAGGAGCTCAGCAGACAGCTTCAGTTTCACTTTCAGTTTCACCCGTTTGCTTTGTTACTGCCGAGAGCCTGCAGGAGTCATGGGTGGGGTCGGGGTGTGTGTGGGGTGGGGGGGCTCTGCCATGAGGAAGTTTGGCTTAGACACATCCCAGAGGCGTTTCTGTTGCACACCTGTCATTTTGCTCCTCAGCATGGCTGCCTAAAAACACTGCAGGATTTCTCAAACATGCATGAATGAGTCAGAACAAGGCTTTGGGCATGTTTTTTTATGAGAGTACAACATGATATAAAACTCAAAAAAACTTGATTTTACACGATATTGCCCCTTTAACACAATTTTTAATATGAGAATTTATTTGAGAAACAAAAAAATAAAATAAATAATTAGTAGTATCTCACCACACTGGAATGCATAGTGAAGGCAAATAAGGCATCCATGTACTTGCTGAGATTACCAGGTGCTTCAACCTGCACTTGTGAACCCTGTGGAGAGATTTCCCACCATTTAATCAGGAGGAGAGCCTGACCAGCAATAAAATGTCTAGCTTCTCWTGTCTGAGATAGGATATGAACACTTGAAGACAAACTCACCACCAATGAGCAGAGCTGGAATCCSAGAGCGCACAAGACCTGACAGAGCCTCTTTAGGAAATTGTACCGCCGTTCCACCACCTCCACTGCCCTGAAAGTGTATAAAATAATGAAGACAAGCCAGAAACAGCAACTAAACGTGAATAAACTAACATCCGTTACAATTATCCATGATTTAAAAAATTAAACAACTCACTGGGATTCTGAGGAGTTCGTACAGATTGCGACACAATCTGCTGACCTGTACAAAGACAAAAACTTTAAAATAACTGTTTGACATTAACGATAATACTGGAGCAGCAGTCGCACTCACTGGGCTGCAGAGAGGATGTAGTTAATGGCCACATCGTTAAACAGCAACATGAACGGCTTCCTCTCCTCCAGTTTTCCCTGCAGCAACATGACATTAAACATCAGACAGGACTTCTCTTGAACTGCTCTCACTGGCAACCTCTGTGATTATTAGCATGATTTAAACTATTAATGGTAAATATGTTAAAGTGAAACAAACATYGTAACTGACAGGCTGAGATTTATTAAATCAGAGCTTTAACTCTGACGTTTGACACTTCTAAGTTAAACTGTTGTCAAACTGGAGCTATTTTAACATAGGAGCGACCTTTGACCCCATGAGCCTAAAATCACTAATAGTCATATTTGACCCACAACCTGTTTAATAGGTTAGAGAAGATCTGCAAAGCTTTTTAATTATGCTTTAAAATGAACTAAAGGTAGGAGAAATATCATTTTATGATTTGTATGTTTCATTAGACTTTGACTCGTCAATAGATTTAGCAGTTATTCTGACAACTCTTGGAAGATTAATGCACCAATCAGCTTTGATTTGATTTAATGATTCAACAGGAAAAGATTACTTTAAAAAAAAGCTTTGACAGCTCTTCCAAAAGAGTTATTACTAATTTATTGTCATGACTACWTAGCTGTTTACCTATGAGCCAAATAAATATTTAGCTAAGATTTAAAAAAGCAAGGTGCTAGAACAGATTTAATAAACTACACTGCTGGTCTGAAGCACTAGTCTATGACATATTAAAAATGTAAAATCATCAAATAAACATTTTAAGCTGATTCAAAGCATGTTTTCTGCAGCTCACCTTCCGACTCAAAGCAATGAGAAGACACTCTGAAGCCTCCAGCTGCAGATCCGGTTCACTCAGCAGCAGACACAATATCTCCAGCAACTTACAGTTTCCGGAGGTGATGTGTACCAAAGACACCCAGTCTATGTAGCCTGCGAGAGTATTAAGTACTGCCACAGCAACTCGACAGTGAGCTCTGGCCTGTGTGTGGAGACAAAAGGTCAAAAAGAGTGAGACCAGAGCAACTGATGTAACTAGRTAAATTTTTGTATTTWATTCACCTGAAGTTCATGTCCGGGTATTTCTTTCTGGTGACAAAAAAAAATAATTAAAAAAGTCCACAGTTGACTTAAACATGAACTTTCAGGAAATGAAATCAAGGCGTGAAGCCCCCACTGACCACTTTACGATACTCCTCAACATTATTTTGCAGAATGKTCAATATAAAACTGAAGATGCTATCCATGTTTAGAGTGAGAGTCTGCTGAATGTCTCGGCGTCGCTGGGTGGGCAACGTCTGGAAGGTGATCACATCTTCTGCCAGTCTCAAAAGAATCAACATGACGAGTTCTGTCTGTGTCTCCTACAACAAACAAGTTTTAKTTTATTTTATAACATTTAGCARGAAAGCCAAAMAGACTGCAGTCCTGAAACAACTCATAGGTCAAAGATAAGACCTGTTGTACTGTGGCCAAATTCATATGATGAAGTCATATGAAAATTTTGCAGTTCTCTACAGGAATATATTTGCTTGTTAGSCATTAMATAATCTTATTTAATTTGAAGCTACACACGTTAAGGGAAAAGGCGATACTTCCGGCACCATTCACACTACTCACCCCTTGGCGAGTAAGAGCATCCATCTCTTTTAACATAGCTGGCCAATTTTGAGGCCATTCCCTYTTGATCATTTCCACGGTTATTCGAGACAGGGCATCTTTGACATGGCTCTCTTCCTCCAGGATAGAACGAGTACCCTGTTGAGACCCAGTAAAAGTGACAGGAATCAAAAGCAAGGTAGATAGATAGCTTTCCGTGGTTATGTTACCACTCCCACACCTACAGTTGATAGCAGCTGCATAGCACACTCCTTTAACTGCACCTTCTCTTGTTGTCGCATGTCGTTCCATCTGAATCTGTAACATAAAATTAGATACATAAATTTTTGCACCCTTGATTATGTCTTCCATGTTTAGGTACCATGTGCTCCACTTACTTGATGACGTGCTCCAGTATTTGCAAACCAAAGTGTCTCACCACAGCTGGCTGGGTTTTGTCAGCTAGTTGTAGGCCACATGGGACACACAGTGTGCTTGTCTCTTTAAACTCTTCACAAAACTGATCAGGAGATTAAACCATGTTAGTCTGCAGTAGGTTTAATCCACTAAATGTTACAAGGTTATTCGGATAACGCTCTTTAACCCGAAGAGATTCACGTGATAAAGCATCAGTTAGCTGTTCGAATGAATGAGCTAACCTACAAGGACTTCCGTTGCCCTTTATTTACAACTTCATGTTTAACAAATATTTCTAAGCTGCTGTTACGAAGATATTACTATATAGTGACGATAATTTATTTAGCTACGTTACGCATGTAGAAAAAAAATCCCTTACTAAAACAACAACAAATGGCATGCTAGCTTTGAGCTAACTAGCAAAACAGGGTACATTGATACCTTTAATGCCTCCGTTCGGTAAATTTGGCTTGTTTCTGCATCCATTATCATAATCACAGCTTTAATAAGCTGCTCACACGTGGAAGCAACCTGTTCAGCCATGACTTCAGGTAGCTTCGGTCACACCGTAAAGCAAGCAACTCCCTTATGCAAAACAACTGCTCCAGCGAGCCGCGTGCCTACACAGGTGAAAGCAACAGCGAGCGAATCATGCCAGTGGGGTTTGAACCTCACGGCTTGCCGTCGAAAAAGAGTTCTGGATGTTGTAGTTTAATAGTACTTTGTTGTTATTTCCACCTTTATTTCATCTAAATACTTACAGAATAAAATTATCCGAACAAAAACATGCTTACTGACATTTAACACTTATCTTAACTAAGTTTCGTAATTTTGATGTTCAAATGTGATTTATTAAAGCAAATCAATCAAATCGTGAAAAGTTTTATTTAATTGTAACATTAATGATTCAAAACTAACTTGTGTTAATCTGTTATTTTTTGGGATTTTCACTGCTTTTGAAGTAATTTTTGGTACTTGACTATTTACAGAGGAATTTTATTTTTCATTTTGCATAAAAGACACTTATATGTGTATATATTTATGCACATTTTGAATACTCAATTCAAACCTCATTTTAAAAGGGATTTGAAGAAAAATATTACACAATATAAATCCTTGCCAGATGTTTTATGTCCCAACTTGGCATTTGGAGCCAGAGACAAACCTCTTAATTTCGTCCTGTTCGATTTTAACTTTATCTCTTGATCTAATAAAAGTTTAACTTTGGCTTATTTATTCTTACCGAAAGCATTTTTTAAAAGAGAACTCAGCTGTAATGTTTGACGTGTTTGGTGTCCTGTCCTCTGCTCCTCACCGAGGAGGGGGCGGAGCCTAAATTCCAAAGCGGAATGAACTTCCTCCCTCAGCGTCACTCTGGGATAGGCTGGGAGTCGTCGAGCAACGTCGTCAGTCAACGGGGTTTCGGGTTTAATACCGTCGTTCTTACTAGTAAGTAAAACATTTAAACTAGTCATATAATTCCGTGATATCAACCGTGTTTTTATGTGTTTATGTTTTATTATCGAAGCTGTACTTTTTGTGCCTGCAATTAGCCGTTCTATTTTTTCAAAGTTAAGCGATGCTCGCAACAAGAAACTTTTGCGGTGAAGGCCCTGCGTTGTAAGCAACAGGTCCACGATACTGGATTATGTTACCATTAACGTGTTTTACGCTTGATTATTTTTCCCCCCCTCTATGTGGTTCGAACTGGTTAAAAGTAACGACGTGTTTGTGTTTTCTACGAAGGGACGGGAGAGTCGAGCTGAAGATAGTAGCATCGCCTTGCCCCGTCGCCAGGCTCCGAGACTCGCCGCTTTCGTCGAAACTGGCCCAGTGGGAGTTCATGCTGTGCTGCTTACCTAAATGCGGTACGACGCTAAAATGATGCCGGTAAGGTTCATCTTACTTCCTAAACTTTCAATAGTGTGTCCGTCATCTCTAATACTGTGTTTACTAAAAAATGTCTTCTCGTAATTCTCGCATGTAATATCTGGATATTTAAACTCACGTGGCAAGTTGATCCAGTGTTTGCTTTGTGCCCTCACACAAGCCTTTGCCGTAAAGTTTATTTGCTGTGATAGGTACTGAAACATAATTTATTTGCCTTACACCCAATGCAGTTGTAGTCTCTTACTTGAAAGATGTCGTTTAACCAAACAGATGCGTTCATTTGGATATATTATCAGTATTTATACCCTTCCGTCCTGCTTAGAGCACACAGCAGGTTGGAGGCACCTGCCAAGTCTTGTTGGCACAGACTAACATCAAGCTCTGGACTCCTGCCCTGTCATCACTACCATCATCTTCATCATCAGAGGTCCATTGCTTTTTGCTGCAGTGCAAGGTCTAACCTCTCAGCACTTTCTGAGGCGTGTAGAGATGCCAGCGGACAGTGGCGTCTGCCTGCATGTGCTGTGTTGGGAAATTAGACAGGAAATGCCTAAAATATGTCCACATGAAATGATTGTGGCATAAGCATTTTTTTAAATCAACAGTAAAGCTTAAACACTGTTTTTATGTTGAAGTTAAAAGTGAATGATGTTCAGTCCTGCTTGTGTGCCGTTTTTATCTGTGTTGCTCAATCTGTGCCCCCAATAAATCAGCTCGATCAGTGAGTTGCTAATCTTTAAAAATAAAGTAGCGTTACATTTGAATTGTTCCTTTCTTGTTTATGACCTCAGTCTAGGGTTGACATGTGTTGTGTTATCAGCAAGCTTGGTTCTCATAGAAACCCCATAAACAGTCACCCTTGTGTGCAAAAAATGGTTTGTTTATTGCCCAAAGGCAACTTTAAATGGCTGACGTGCACACACAAATTAATTTCTGTCACCTCACAATATATATGTGTACACTGCTTGTATTTTGGTGTGTCTGAAGGAGATACAGCTTCATGTGTTTGCCTGATAAACACAAAATGGCCTCATCAGCTGTGTCTGATGTGAGGCATTGTCTTATAAATTACACAGGCAGCCCATCATGACCTGGTAGTACAGGCCGGGGGCTTGGGGGTGTAATGAGAATGTGGTGTAATAATTGCTGGCTGGGATGGTAAATAGGGGGTGTCACTGTTCTCTTGCACAATAAGCTAAAAGGACAACAGCATGCTGTGAAAAACACATTGTTTATGTGCCTGTGCTATGGCATCGCTGATAAGGAATACTTGTCTCTCATTGAACCAAAGCATTGTGTAACTCATTTACACCTGAATTACTCTTCAGTGTGGGTTGCAGTTTGTGCTCTCATAAATCTAGTTGCTTTTCTAATCATCTTGCATGACTTGAGCAGCTTTTTATGCTGGTATATTTACCGCAGTGAAGTTAGTTTCAAGTTGGATATTCGATATTCGAGCTCCGTGAATCAAGGGTTGTCTCCCTCTTGTCT